ATATAGTAGACCTCAAGGTAAATACTATCCGTACTGCTGGAAAAAAGTGTGGTGTTGGTTGGTTGTTCTTTTCCCCTTTGTATGGGTTTTTTTTTCTTGGTTGGTTGTTTTTGTTTTGGTTTTTTTTTTTCTCCCTGGAGGATTATACCAGGCATGTTGTAGGGAAGAGGATGTTGTCTAGTTTGGCAGATCTGTATGAAGTTGGTCCCCAGAATGCCTCACTGCTTTTTCCTCTTGAGAAGTCACAGGAAAGCTGGAAATTCTTCTCCATTATTATTTTTTTTCTCCTGTGGAATAAAACATTTATTTGTAATAAGGATGGTTTAGACTGGATATGAGAAAAAGATTCTTTGTAATTATTAGGGTGATAGTCTATCCCAGTGTTTTATCTAGAGAAAGTGTGGAATCAGCTTTCTTGGTAGTTAAATATGTGTCAAGATATCCTTGAGCCTGTGTTCATGCTGAGTTAGGATTAGGTAGTCTCTTGTGGTCCATTTCATCTCTGCAGAACTACAGTGCTCAAATTACTACTTCCATGGAACCATGTTTTGGTTCCACGGAAGAGATTATCTAAAAGTTAAGTCATGAACTCAGTGAAGCAAATGGGCATGCTGCTTCTTGCGTCCTAAATTCAATTTTAAGCTAGATCAGTAAGGAAACAAGTTATTTTTTTACTTAGTAAAATAAGTTTTTGTTTTCCAAAAAAGTGTTTTGACAAACAATGCTTAAAAATAATTTGAAGCTGCTGTGTATGTCTGTCTGTCTTCTAATGAGTATGCTAGAAAAGCAGGGAATGCAATTGCAGTAGCACTGAGACAGTAGAAACCCCTTGATTACTCATCCACAGTGGAATAGCCCTGGGGAAGAAATGGCACCCTAGAGATTACTTGGATTTGTATATTTCTGCAGGCAAAGTTTACAGACCTGTAAATTTAAATGTAGATTTTTTTGTGGGCAGAAAGCATTGACAAATATGTCTGATGGTAATACATTTCATACCGATAGTCCCAGAACAGGTCAATAATAATGCTTATATTGATAGCACCAATGCAGGAGATGTTACTTGGTATTATAGCTAAAATCCATGTTATCCCCTTAATTATAATTACATTAATATTGACAGGCTGTTGACAATACTCACATTACTATTGATAGATTTCTGTCAATAACATGTTTCCAAATAAAATATATTCATTCATAATTTGTACAATGCTCAATAACAGCACTAACGTGTACCAGAAGAAATTTCTCTTTCACTGGTGATATACATTAATTAATTTTTTTTTTTGCTGCACAGTATACTGTACAAGTGGGATTGTTCATTTGGTTATTTAAGGAAGCATTCTGTGCAGTTTTATTCTGGGAGGCAATTTTAATTTTTTTTTTTTTCCAATGTGATACATGTGATGGTGTAAAATCGAGGGAATCGAGGCATACTGGTATTGGAATATTACTATTAGATCAGTTCTTAGCTGCCTTCAAGTTGAGCAATCTGAGTTCCTTCAAACTCTCATAGATCAGGTGTTGGGGCTCCCTGATGATTTTAGTGGCTGGATTATTTTCAGTTTGTTGATGTTTCTTTTGTCCTGTTGATAGAAAAGAGGCAAAAAAACCCACATAGTGTCCCCAGTATAGACTCACCAATGCCAAGTAGAGGGGAATAAGTACATCCTTTAGTCTGTTAGCTATATGTATGCTACTGCACTCCAGTAGCCATTATTACTGCAAGGATGCACTGGTGACTTGTGTTCAGCTTGCTGCCTACCAAAATACCCAGGTCCTTTTTTGCAAAGCGGTTATGTAGTCAGACAGTTTCTCATAGCACCTGGTATAATGGAAGGCATCTAAAAAAGATAGTTGAACTGATGTTGGGAAATCATCTTGGATCAAGGAAGCTGCTTGATAAGGTGTCCCATTCAGCTAAATTTAGGATTTTGAAAGGGGATTTTGTGTATTGATAATTGTATAGAACAGTAATAGGAGGGTAATGGAAATTAGTAGAATGGAGTGAAATGATTAGAAGGGACTAAGGTGTTACCAGAAGTGAAAAAGACAGTGGATATTTAGGGATTATGAGTGACAGGTTCCTGAGTAGATGGTTATTGGAGGCTGTGGTTCCTAAATGGTAGTGAGATGAGATGAGGGGAAGGACGGTGGATAGTCACTGAAGCTGGAGTTTTTGAAGTGATACAGCAATATCCAGTAGGGATTGAATTAACCTTTTTATCACAAAGTGGAAGAGGTAAATTATTGGGAAGATACTGGATAATGCTTAGCAAGCATACTTCGTGCACTTCAGTCCTTACTACAGAAAAGACAGAAGTGGGCAGTTGGGCATACTGCCTTTGTATACCCTTGTATACCGGCTTGTCAGACCAGCGTGGGTTGATGCAATGAACCCCATAGCTGTTTGTCCGGAGGAAGTTGCCTTAAACTACCTTCAGCCATATTTTAACTTGCTATTGAGGAAGGAGAAGTTTAAAGAAATTGAGTGGAACTGCTGTATGCTCTACCCATGCAGCTAGTCTTAGTTACCTGAAAACTACTATTGTACAGCGTACATTAAAAAAAAATCATATTTCCTGTTAGCTTTGCATGATATTTTTTCCTTATAGACATGACCAGTTATAGGTATGAAAAACAGTAGGAATGCTACAAATGATCACAGAATCATTAGGGTTGGAAGAGACCTCTGGAGATTATCTAGTCTAATCCCCTCTGCCAAGGCAGGGCAACCTAAAACAGGTTACACAGGAACACGTCCAGGAAAGTTTTGAATGTATCCAGAGAGAGAGACTCTACAACCTCTGGCACCATCCTCTCGGCACCCATCTTTGAGATATTTATATGCATTAATGAGATCCCCTCTTGTTCATCTCTTCTCTAGAATACACAGGCCCAGTTCCTGCAATCTCCTTATAAGAGATGCTCCAGACCCCTGATAATCATTGTGGCCCTCTGCTGGATCCTCTCCAGTAGCAAATTGTCTTTTATACCGGCTTTTAAAACTTTTGGTGCACTCTGTTTCAGCAAACAGTTACTGCTTTGAAGGATTTTTTTTTTTTTTTTTTTGGTTTTGGTTGGTTGGTTGGTTGGTTTTGGGTTTGTTTGGGTTTTTTTTAAGTTACTTCTGCATTTGAAAATCCTGCCTGCTCTGATGCTCCCCACTTTCAGTCACAGCTTGATTGTGCCCAGAGGGAAGAAAGAAGCAGAGAGAAGAGGTGGGAACAGGAACATGCAATGTAGCCATTCAGACAGGCAGCACTTGCAAGGGTTAGAATATATGAAGAGGAATTCCTCCTTTCTCAGATTAAGGACACAGCAGTGGTGGTGCAGGGATATGACAGTGTCATGAAAGATGCTTCACTTAACATGGTACCAGGTCAAACTGTTTAAAGGTGCACTTCTCCTCTCGGCACCCATCTTTGAGATATTTATATGCATTAATGAGATCCCCTCTTGGTCATCTCTTCTCTAGAATACACAGGCCCAGTTCCTGCAATCTCCTTATAAGAGATGCTCCAGACCCCTGATAATCATTGTGGCCCTCTGCTGGATCCTCTCCAGTAGCAAATTGTCTTTTATACCGGCTTTTAAAACTTTTGGTGCACTCTGTTTCAGCAAACAGTTACTGCTTTGAAGGATTTTTTTTTTTTTTTTTTTTTGTATTCTCAGCATCATTAGCAACCATTCCTATATAAGATCCTATACAATGTCTTTCATTCAAAGCAGGTTTGTGTTATAGCAGGTTTTCCTCTTATAAATAAGTATTTGAAGTACCTTCTTCTGTACTTTCTTTAGAAGGCTGTTGACTCTTGCTTGTCTGTCATGCAAAGAATCTAGTTTAGAAAGTGCAAGAGGTTGCATAGTAGCTGAAATATACCACTTGTAAATCAGTTTATGGGTTTGGTTTTTTTTTTGTTGGTTTTTTTTTTTTTTTAATGTGGACAAAAGGAGCTAGAAATCAGTTACCCCACAATTTTGCATTACCGGGGCATTAGCCATATTTTGGTTTTGTAATTTATTGCATTTATTTTCTTAGTCACAAAATTCCAGATGCAATAACATTTAAACCAAGCGGTTTAAAAAAAAAAAAAAAAAAAACCAAAAAAACCAAAACTAACTTTTTCTCTGTAATGCTTGAATACTAAGAGCATATAGTTGTTGAAGTTGCTATTATACATTAATCATCTTGCCAGGAAATTTGTTATACAACAAGTAGCACAATCCCACACCTGTCAAAAGACTAGAAAATATATGCAGGCTTTAGTGATGTACTATATGATAATTTATGCCTGAATGTTGAATATTTCTTTAATCTCATATGATGATTCCTCTCTAAACTAATCACTGCCTTTATTTAGCAAGTTTTATCATTCCAATATTATTTTATGCATATTTTCCTGCATATAATGCTTAAATTTGTTAGCATTTCTAAGATTTTTACTTTCAGCTGCAGCTAATGAAGTATTCATATGGCAGTATTTTCTATCCACCCACTGTTCTCTTCTAGATTTTTAGTTAGTAAGTTTACTTTCCCTCTTTCTCCATAAAACACCATATAATTTTATAATTCTTGTTTCTGGACTTCTATTTTAAGGTCCAATTCAATATTACAGTTATGCCCAGCAAAATGTTGGGGGTTTTAATTTATTCAGAGAAATATTAAATCTGTGGAGTTTTTCTAAATATCTGGAAGGTGTTAAACACTTCTCTATAACCAAATGTAAATGTTATTGTTTGTGAGAGACAGATCTATATAACTTCCTTTGAGATGAAATTTTATATTGTTAATGTAAAGCTTCCTGAAAGGACTTATAGCTTATTAATAGCATAGTAATATAGATTCTGAACAAGCTTTTCTGTTATTTATTGTTTACTGCTGGTATATATAGATAGATATGTAGGTATAGATAAAACCAACTTCGTTATTTTTGATAAGAATAAAAATAGGAAATGCTCTGTTACACTAAAATCTATTTGTGTTTATTCCTAGAAAGTTTTTTTGTGAAGAAATGGCATCCAGCATTGGAAATGAAAAGAGCGTGAATCCTGTGCTCAGAATAAGTCAACTTGATGCTCTTGAACTAAACAAAGCCCTGGAACAACTAGTGTGGTCCCAGTTTACCAGCTGTTTTCATGGATTTAAACCAGGGGTGTTGGCTCATTTGGAACCAGAAGTAAAAGCATTTTTATGGCTTGTATTGTGGAGATTCACTATCTACTCCGAGAACGCAACTGTGGGACAGGCTATTCTGAATATTCAGTATAAGAATAACTTATCTCAGACAGAGAAATACCAACCTCTGAGCAAACACCAGAAGTTATGGTATCTTATTTTAACTGTTGGTGGAAGATGGTTGGAAGAAAGATGTTATGATTTATTTAGCAATCGTCAAATGCAATCTTTCTCTAAAATTAAGACTTGTATTAACTTTGGAGCTGGACTGCTTAAACTTTGTGGACTTCTAAATTTTCTGATTTTTCTTCAGAAAGGAACATTTGCAACACTTACAGAACGCATTCTAGGAATTAGGTCAGTTTTTTGCAAGCCTCAAAGTGTTCGTCAGATAGGATTTGAATACATGAACAGGGAGCTGCTATGGCATGGCTTTGCTGAATTTCTGATCTATCTGCTGCCACTTATTAATATACAGAAAATGAAACTAAAAATTTCTTCTTGTTGTTCGCATATTGCAGGTATTTCTAATAGTAAAAACACATTAACAGCTCACTGCAAAGAATGTTCACTATGTGGGGAATGGCCTACCATGCCTCATACCATAGGCTGTTCACATGTTTTTTGTTACTACTGTATTAAAAGCAACTATTTATTTGATATGTATTTTACATGCCCTAAATGTGGCTCAGAGGTACAGAGTCTTCAGCCACTGAAATATAAAGTTGAAATGACGGAATTACATGCCTGATACGACGTTGATTTGGTTTTACACTGTATGTTAAATGTTATGTTGAAGAGATTACTGGAAAAATTCAGCACGTATTGTAAACAGACAGCTTTAAAATGGCTTTTGAGAGTCTTTAATTTGTTGTAACATATGTCTTTACTCCTATTAGAAGTTTACTGAGTAACAGTGCCAACTTGCCTCTTTGAAGGAAAGAAAAGTAGTTTACCAGCTCTTCTACTCCCTCAGACTACTTGTTCCCAGTTTGGTACCCCTATGTTGCCAAGTCATTCTTCCTTAGATCTAGAGTCTTTTAGCCTGCAACATTCTAACTTCAAGCTGTATACTTCCCTCAAAGGTACAGAAGATGCCCAGTAAGCTTTTTTTCTCAAGCTTGTTGTAAAAGCTTCTGCCATTACCAACTTAGCTAGTAGATGGATTTAGTGGGAAAGTCATCTTGTCATGCCTAAAGAATAATTTTAAATTCAAATGTGTTAAATTTTAATTCCAGTGTGAGGTTCCACTGCAAAAAGGAAAAGTGTGAGATGAGTTGTCATCTCAACAGATTCTTAAGAGTTTTCATCATATTAAACCAACATAACAGGATGTACATCAGAATTGCTTTTTTTATCAATACACCATAAGCTTTAAGTGATCCCTCTGGTAGGCAGATAGGTACTTCATCGTCAACATGTGCCTACAGGAGTTATACCACTTCCTGTGTGAATACAGTGCACCTTCTAGACCTCCATGAGATGACTGAACTAATTTTCTTGCTCAGCTGTGATCTTCAGTGACATATATATGGCCACCTTCCTCTTCTTCCCTATAAAGTGGAGACACGTGGTCCATCATTCATTGGAATGTGACAGCTGCCCAAGGTAACCCACAGTCTTCTGAGTCAGAGACTGGAGAGAACTGTCAGGATGCTATCTTTGGGATTTGCCACTCTTCTGGTTTTTTTGTGTGTGTGGTTAAGCTGGGTGCCAGACCCTGGTAATAGCTCACTGCCACGCCGAAAAAATACCAATGCAGTTATGTGCATGTAGACATATTTAAAAAAAAAATTAAAAAAAAAAGGTAACTCCTGGTTTTTACTGTTAGTATTTGGTTTGGGTGTTGGCCTTGCAATGTTGTTATTATCCGCTGTTTGAACACTTTATCCATTTATTCTTTGACCTGGTTCTATATGAGTTATTTTTTTTTTAAATTGCAGTTGTGTTTTAACAGGAAGTCTTACCCAAAAGTGTGTCATTAACACAAAAATACATTGCATCCTTTTTTGGCTCTTTAACTGTGTAAGCTTTTGAGAATTTGAGTAATTCACATTATGCTGGCTGTGTTCTTGATTGGCTATCATCAGTAGTCAGTCCCAAAAATAGTATGGTAACAACTGATCCAATCTTTGATCTACTTTTATGAAATGGTTTCTTACATTCTTCAGTGTCTGATTAAAACAACCCACCAGCCTATTTGTTTGAAGATCTTAAATTCTAGGTTTTGATCTTTAGAGTGACACACAGTGCTTTCATCTGATGCAATTAAGTATAGTTAGCGGGTTTGTAAGTATCTTTGGGCAGCCAAAAACTTCATTAATGCTGCTACTGTTCTGTGAGTTGAGACTTCAGAGCAACTGCTTCCAGATACTGTGCCACAATATATTATTTGCTATCAAATGTGTGTATCAGCAGCCTGCCAGATTTATTATTCACAGTTGCAATTTGAACCAGCATGTACAAAGCTGTCTTTATTAGAAGTATCAAAACTGGCAGGTCTGTTGGAGAATATCCTGGAGTCACTTGCTGGTCCTGAAGTGATTCTGTATGAATTGTCCCTCCCCATTATTTAATAGCTCTTCCCAAAGAAATGTATTTGTAGCCCTGTCTTTGAGGTGGTCTAATGTCTCCAGAAAGAACTATCAGTATTTCTGCTTCCTCTTTCTTTAACTATCCTTATTAATTAAGATTTGTACACATCCAAAATCTGGTGTTTGTAGTTTATAATCGTAACAGTCCTTTGTTTCTTGTGGACTCTACATTCCTTTTGAAGTCAGAGATCAAGTATTGTGTTAAAAGATCATGGATTCTTTATATTGGACTCTGTTAGGTGTCATGTAGGAGTTAATTTCTTTCCTCATTAGAACTGTTCCTTTTTCCTGAATATTTAAAGAATTCTACCTTCCTTTTTCATTCCACCTCTTTCTGTCCTGCTGTTTGATTTACCTAAGCTGTATGAATTTGCTGAGGTTTGTTTTGTCTCTTGCAGCTTCATGCAGGTGAAAAACCAGTAGAATATGTACTCTGTTTTTCATCCCTGTTACAGTATCGGTACAAAACCTGTTTCCAGAAATTTTGTACCTCTATTGTACAGCTATTTTCTACTGGCCATACTAAGTTGCACGTGACTTCCCTATTTTTCTTCTGGAATTGAACTTTTGATGCTTAGCTTATTATGTCATATTATACCAAAGTATTGGCCTACTTACTGTATTACCTCATCATCAGTGTGTTAGGCTTGTAGCCACAGCATTGACCAACTTTGTAGTCTACGTCTTACGATATAAATAGTTTGCATTACCCAAATATCCTAGATCCTAAGGTGTGGCTTTAGTTTTTTTTTTTTGTTTCCCATGCAAGTAAGCAGGTACCATGCATCTCGCAGAGTTTGGGAAAAGAGTGGTTCCGTTTCTCAGAGATTTTTTTATTTTTATTTATTTATTTGCCATGTGGTGAAACTTTTGCTCAGTTGTAGTCACAACTCGCGTTGAGACTAAATAGACTGAAAAACTACTTGCTACCAGGTTAGCTTTTTAGCACTTTAAAGTCAATGCTCAGCAACTTCCTTATAGCACCGTAAAATTAAATATATACCTTTTTATATTGTAATTCTGTTCTTTTGTGTCTTGATATAAACTGCAGAAAAGAAATATTTGATTATATTAAAAATTAGGTAATTCATAAACTAATCAAACGATGATTTAATGTTAACTGCATGTTAACTTATAAGCACTATATTTTCAGGTTAAAACTCCTCTGTAACAAAGGTCTAAGTAGTGATGCTTCCTGCAGTAGGGGGAATAAAATTTATTTTGGAATGTTAATCTCTTCAGTCCTTTTCTCTAAACAAAAGGGGGTTAGTGTTCAGCTACCATGAGAATGTACTTCTGAGCAGTCATATATGCATCAGTGAAAAGGATAAATGCCTAGGGTTTAAGAAAGCTAGAGGACCAGAACTTTTATTCTGTCATGGATAAGAATTACAGCCCTGTATTAAGGGTTTTATTTGTGCTTTGTTGTGTGTCTTGTGTGCTACATGAACATGTTCATTGTATCAGAAATCAAAAAAATAATAACTGAAAGAGACTAATTGTGTTAATAGACATATTAGAAAACTTTTCATATCTTCATATGAATGATAATTACCAGTTGTCACAGGGTATGATTTTGGAGGCATCACTACTTCATCTGTTCTATATGTTTTAAGAGAGGTCTAGTTTAAGTAACTCTGTAGAAGACTTAAAAGCAGGAGTTTGAATATTCTGTAAAAGAAATGACAGGGATAGTATCTGATTTCTGCATTACCTGGAAATAGTTCTTTGTTTTTACATGAATGTGAGATGTGACAGGCAAGGATAATTTGGATGAAGTGGTGAAGAGATGTTAAAGTTGAAAAAAAAAAAATATTTTTCCTAAATACAACACAATGAATTTCCTTATTTGAGAATATTTCTACAAGTGTTATCTGAGATGTATCATTCTTATGAAAACCAAGTTGACAAATAAAATATACATTTGAACAGGAGGTTCTGAACTTTTCTTAAGAGACTTTTTTTCTTTCTTTTTGGCAGGCTAGCTATGGTTATTCTGTGGTATAGCCTTCAGGTGCTCTTAGGTATTTATGAGACTCAAATGCAAAGTGGAAAACTAGTTTATAATTACAGTTCACTTTAACAGTTTCTTCAATTTTAAGTTCCCAAGCAAGTTATCTTTTTAATAATTCTCCTTTTGAGCAGAGTAGTCATAGCGATAAATTGTTCACTGTAGCATTTTGTGTGTGTTTGCTAGGAAGCTGTGTTGGCTTGTACGAAAAAAAGAATGTTGGAACATGACTTGACACTCAGGATAGGGTCACATGGTTACTGCCATGATAGATATTAAAGCTCATGGACACTTACTTCCAATAACAAAAATATGGTAGCATAGGCTACTGTATGTCACAGTGCATACAACCAGACACCAGGGAGCAGTTTCAAAACAGTGTTTTACACCTTTTGAATGTCAACCACATGTGCATTCTCAGGAAAAATCTCTTAGTAGCATTGGTCAGGTAGATTGTAACTTCCTGCCAAGAGGGTTTTTTCCATGTTGTCACCATCAAAACCACTGAAATTGTTACCGCAGTCTTAGTATTTCCACCATTCCAGGGGAGCCCAGTTCCATGGCAGGATCTGTGTGATGGGTTTACCTCAGCTGGATGCCACAAGCCCACCAAGCTGCTCTGTCATTCCCCTCCTCAGCAGGATGGGGCAGTGGAGAGAAAATGAAGCGGGAAAAGAATTATGGGTCAAGATGAAAGCAGTTTAATAAAGCAAAAGCAAATGTTGTGCATGGAAGCAATGGAAGAGAAAAAAAAAAACCAGATTTTATTCTCTGCTTCCCGACAGCAGAGTATGTCCAGCCACTTCTCAGGAAGCAGGGCTTCAGTATGTGTAGCAGTTGCTCTGGAAGAAAAACACTGTAATAATGATTCTACTTTCTCCTTCTCTCTCTTAGCTTTTATTGCTGAGCAGATTTCATATGCTATGAAATATCCGTTTGGCTAGTTTGGGTCAGCTATCATGGCTATTTCACCTCCCAGGATCTTGCCTATCCCCTGCCTACTGATGAGGGGGGGATGTTGGAGATACCGTCTTGATGCAGTAGGAGCATAGCTCAGCAGTAGCCAGAACACTGGTGAGTCATCATTAGCTTTCTAGCTACCAATACAAAGCACAGCACTATGAGGACTGCTACGGGGAAAATTAATTCTATCTCAACGAAACCCAGTGCAGCCTGGTGAGGTGACCAAATAGATGGCATTAAAGCAAAAAACGTGTGGGGAGATCCCTCTTAGGCTGGGACACTGGGTCTAGATTACTGCAAGCATGCAGAGGGATACTTGTAAGGCATCTATTAAGGCCAAGCAGT